GGCATCAGAAGCCCTTATAGACTCGTCTTCCACAGCCGGCGCGCCATGCGCGAGGTGGCCGCCTGGGTCAACGGGACGTCGGGCACGGGCTGCAGCGGCTTCCTGCCCGCGGGGCGCAGCTGGGCGCCCGGGGCGCTCTACGAGGTGCTGAGCGCCAAGACGGAGCGCGACTGCACGGCCGCGCTGGGCTTCGCCATGCACGAGCTCAGCCTGGTGCGCGTGGAGAAGCACTACCAGGCCCTGCCGCGGCCCGGCGGGCGCCTCCTGGAGGAGCTCTACCTGGGCGACATCCACACCGAGTGGGGGGAGAGGCTCCACTACCGGCCCACGGGCTACCAGCGACCTCTGCAGAACGCTGTGGTAAGAAACGGGCCTTTTTGGGGGGTAATAATGATGCTTTTGTGGTAAAAATGGTGTTTTTATGGGGGCCCCATTGCGGAGAGAAGCATAGCTTACCCCTAGGATGCAGAGCGAGGTCAGTGGAGCCCAGGGAACAGAGCTGCGCGCTCGGATGTCTCACATCCCTCTTGCTATTTCTTCGCTGTGTCCTGCAGATTGGGGAAAAGTAAGGAAGCAGCATCTCCCATTAAATCATTATTTTCCAATGTAATGCCATTAGAAGAGGAAGCGGCCCTGAATACAATTACACTGTTATGCAGAAATCAGGCTTTCCTTTTGATATATATGAAATGGAGTAAGAGACTTGGTTGCTTTTTAGCTCTTTTCTTCTGCCAGCGCTCTGGTTTATTTCCAGAAAAACATGTTTTTGTTTGAATCTTAATTGATCAACTCAGAAATGAGTGAGGAGTGAGACAGGGTGAGAAACCTCTCTGAACATTGCCAGAGGGAACTGAACGAAATGGAAAAGCCCCTTTTGGGGGCAGCTTTGTGGGGGTAACATTTCCCCGCACCCTGATCTGCACCAGCTGACTCCTGAAAGAGCAAAAGGAAAACGCAGAGCAACACCTCTCCCACTCCAAAGTAGCGTTCTCAGATTGGTTAAACTTGTGTTATCTTGGGCCAAAACCATATATATGAGCAAAACCAGATGATAAACATAAACACTTTAAAAAGTTAATTTAAAAGCAAACCTAAAGATACCGAAATTCACTGTCTGGATCCAGCCCTGTAATTAATCAGCTAACAGCTCTCCAATGTACCAGCACATGATGTCACCACTTGGTGATAATTAGAAGCTGCCAAACATTAGAAATAACTTCACACAACTGGTTTAAGCGAGTAGGACTTTTTGCTTCATGATGATGGTGATAATTTTATTGGGCAGAAGGATTTTGTTTTGTTTTTATTACTCAGCTAATAGCCGCTTGCTTGCACCAGTAAGAAGGCTACACGGGTATGTTAGGCCTTTTTTTTAGTGCACTTTAAGAAAATATCACTCTTATTCCCTTAAATCTATATCTGTTTTAAAGAAACCCATTCTCCCCAAATTACCTTTCATTATCAAAGAATTTCCTGTCAAAGGAGAGCACATATATTTGCCAACTTCTGGGATTATTTAGCTGCACTGTACTATGTACTGTCAGCACTCATTAGTGTGACAGTAGCAGTAAAGCAAGCTGAAAATGACTAAATTACAGTAGACTCCAATCAGCTTGCATGTAAATTACCCACCTGGCAGTTAACTACCAAGTTACTTAACATTGCTGCATATGACAGTTCAGTCAAGATTAGCTCTTATTCTGGAAAATGATACAGCGTTCGAACCCTGGTTATTTGAAAATAAATCAGTTGTGATATGTGAAATATTAAAAAAAAAGTCCCCAGCTAGACAAAAAAATAAAAAAAATCTTCTGGTGAGTGATGGGCCGTGGGACTGCCCTGGCTCAGCGCTGCGCAGGGCCTGGGCAGGGAACCAGCTCGGGACCTGGTTCTGCGGGAGGTTTTTCCTCTCTCCTGCAGGGATGTGTGTCCTGGCGGTCACGCGAGCCCCATCCTGCTGCGTCCGCCCGGAGCACAGAGCCCGGGTGGCTCCTTTTCTCACTTCATCTGCTTGGATGTCTAGGGCCAAGTTCATTGCAAATGAAAGCCCTGATGTGTGAGAGAAATGTTCTGAGACTTTTAAAATAACTCTGAATATGTGGGTTTTTTTGCATATCCATTTTTAAAGTACTCTTTTTTGCCTTCCACAGCACCATGTGCATCCTTGCCCAGCCTGCGGGATCATATACAGAGCTGATGAACACCATCCACCCATCCTACCTGCGCAAGCCGAGCTGCCCATGCAGCTGGGTGGCAGCTGGGTGAGCACCCACTGCGAGGTCCGGCCCGCCGTGCTGTTCCTCACCAGGTACTTCATCTTCCACGGGAGCAATCACACCTGGGAAGGGTATTATTACCACTACTCCGACCCCCTCTGCAAGCAGCCGACTTTCACCATCTACGCGTCCGGGCATTACACCCAAGGCATCCCCTCCTCCAAAGTGAGAGGTGGCACCGAGCTGGCTTTTAAGGTCACCCAGGCTCGGGTGACGCCGATGGACCAGGTGACGGTGATGATGCTCAACTCCTCGGAGCCGGGAAGCTGCGGGCTGACAAACTCCTGGCGCGCTGGGATGGAGCAGGATATAACTCCCACAAATGGATGTTTGGCTCTGGGCATCAAGCTGCCGCACACGGAGTATGAGCTGTTCAAAACAGAGCAAGACGCCAAGGACCGCAGCTTGCTGTTCATCGGCGAGAGGCCCACGGATGGATCCAGCCCCGACCGTCCAGACAAGCGACCCACGTCGTATCAAGCACCTCTTGTTCAGTGTGCTGGGGCCTCGGAGGAATTCTCTAAATATCTTAGTCTGAAATACTTGGGAAAGCAGGGTGCTAGTGGGAATGAAGCACTAAAACCTTTGCCTGTGGCCTTTTTATTGTTTGTAGCACTGCAATTTTTGAGATGGGACTAGCTCTCTATTCAGGTACAGCAAAGAATTCACATAGTCCTGGTGCTAGGATGATTTTATATTCTTCAAATGATCACCTCTGGAATAAGTTTTACTTAGATTTGAAAACCCTTTTTTTTTTAAAAAAAAAAAAGCTTCTAATCTTCCCTTTGCCTACAAATCTAATGTAGTGACATGGATGCATTGCACATTGCAATAGATAATCTAGCAATAAGAGATAAAAAAAAGAGCTACAATCAGTTACAATTGCTGCTTTGAGCTTTTGACTCTTCTAAGATATAATCAAAAGCTTGATTCAGATGTAATTCAAACATCCAAATGTTGCTGCTGAGTTTCTTTGAGGTTAAGTTCCCTCCCATTCTACTCCTCATTGCTGTTCTTGCAAATTTAGATCTGTAGCATCAGCCAGCAATAGAGTCAGCAAGTGCTCTTGATAAGGGCACTCTTAATCATTCCTTCCTCGGTTCACAGACTTTTCCTGCAGTTTTCATGTATACATACACATTGATGCAATGTACAGTTTTCCACCTAGTTAAAAAACCAGCACTCCCTGCACATTACCTGGACAGGCTGCTGTGCCTGGCCGTGGTCAGATTAGAAGCTGCAGTAAATGGAAAAGGCCACTGTGCCCATCTGCTCCCAACTTTCAGCATCACGTAGCTGCAGGCACTGCGTCCGTGCTGCCTAATTCTGCCTTTCCCCTCACTCGCACTGGCCTGTGCTTTGGGAATGTGGCCACTGCCACCATGTTCCTGCTGCCCTTGTCCAGCCAGTGAAGGAGCACCAGGCAGCCACAGCTCCTGCTCATCCTGCATCTCCTGGAGGCAAAGGTCCCTTACATGCAAACCTTCCCAGGCTGTGTATTTTCCCTGTCTCCCCTATAGCAAGTATTCTGGCACTAATCTAGATCTCAATCCAGCCACATTTGTGTAAGGATGTTTCATAAATTTGCCACTAGTGAGCAAGGTGTTGAGGAAATGCTCTCAGCACATCAGGTCAAGCTGATTTCTAGGGACAGGAAAGACAAAGTAAGAAATTATATTCCCTTGTCTGCTGCAGCTAAGAAGCATATAATTGACTTGGAGAAGACCTCCTCCCAGAAGCTAAATCCTCTCCAAATCAACCTACATATCTTACTTGCAAAGGATATTTTATTAAACCAGCTATGCAATAGCTACCTTCTTAATGCTGTATTTACAAACCTGCAGCTTGTACTTAGATAATTTATGGGTTTTATAACAGATTTTTGGGGGATGTGTACATGAACAAATAATTCAAATGAGATGCTTATTAAATACATAAAGTTGTGATATAAATGTTGTCAGCATATTCACACATTCCAGGCATGGTAAAACAGTAGTCGTGCACAGAAATATTTATGCTTCTAAGAGGATATGCCAGAAGGCCAAGCTTGGCTAACTCACCTTAGGTGCCCTCTGTGATTAATGGAGAGAGACACTTCTGCAGGCAAAGTCAGTCTCCCACTCCTAGTCCTCTTTCTTCACTCACCGTAGCAAAACCTTTTGCAAGTAAAGCACTTGTGCAAAACATCTGCCCTTGCTAAGAGCTGCTGCGTTTTGTTGCTGCTATTTTGTGGAGATCCACAGGCAAACATTTAAAGAACTGGAAGGGATTCTAAACCACCTGCTGCACTAACCTCCTTTGGGACCTTGACAATGGGTGCTTTACCCATGGCAAAGCCAACAAAAATCTGCTCATTTGGAGGACACGCAAAGAGTCCCTTTGGGCAATTAAAATTTATCTTGGCATGTGTAGTTTTCTTTGCAAGGTCCCTGTTAAAGTGCTAGGAAGCAAGGGAGAGCCCCGGGAGTGAGGCTGGATCTCACGCGATCCGTAGGTGCAGTAGAAACGTCTTCCTCCAGCCGACCTGTTTGCACACACCGTGCCAGGGCCAGTGAGCAGGGAACACAAAGATGTCCATGTTACCATGAGCAGGGAACCAGGCTACGCTCCTTCCCTCCACACCTGGAGCCTTTTCATCATAAGTATGCTTAAGCAGACTTACCCTGCCTAAGTATACCTGTGAAAGAAAAGAAAAAGGCATGGAAAAGCTATCTGCATAGCATAGCTTCTGTTATTCTGTTCATGGTTTTAGGGAAAACATTCCTAAAGTACAGTTACTCCCTTAAGAATTTGTGTCTTTGCTCAATTTGAGTTTGCCTGGCTATGATACCCAGTCAATGATTCCTTTTGTTCAAGAGGGGGAGCTGCACGGCTGGGTATTTTCTCCCTGTGAAGATACTTCTGCATTGCAATCAAGACACTACTCAATCTTTGTTAGACTCTGCCAAGTGAACTCTATGTCTTTAAGGCATTTTCATACTCCACTAATCACTTTTTGATTCTTTTTTGCCTCCATTCCAATTATTCAGCTTCTTTTTTAAAATGCAGATATCTAAATCACATCCAAAATTCCCAAGTCTCATAGCTTAGACATACAGAAGTATAATCACTTGCTGTTAATGATAATTCAAAAGAAGAATGTGTTCTTATTCATTAGATTTTGCCCTGGAAAAAAGCTGCACTGGGAGCTCGGGGGGGGGGCAGTTCTTCCTTGCCCTGGTCCTGGGTATGGATATTTTTGTCATGTGCACTTTTATCGGTAGCAATTTCATGTGTATTTTCACCAGTGATCTGGAACTACTGAATTATATTGGGTCCCAACAGATCCTCCTGTGAGCATCCCCATTTCACCGTGGTTCTCTCTGAGTGACCATTTTTGAGTTGTGCGATTATCGCAGAAGCCCGAGCTTTGCAGGGGTCCAGGTATACTCAATCCCAAAATAACATAAAATAGAAGAAAAAAAAAAAAAGATGCTAGAATGTAATGACTTTCCTTATGCGTCTGTGTCACCATTTGATCACTTTTCCCCTTCCCTGGCTCAGGAGGTGTCAGGAGAATTGAGCCCTTCACTCGGTCATCCTGCCCTCTTGGCTTTTCTTCTCATCAGCAAGTCAGAGACTGCCTCAGGCATCTCCCTTGGAAGCCCTGATTCAACTTTTTAGGCCTCTAAATTTAAAAATGTTTATTTTGAATAATAAGCAATGATTATGAATGACATCAGGTTTCCAGCCTCTTAGATCATCACTTGCAGTTTTTGCCATCTGCATGCACTAATGCTACTGCAGATTTCCCTCCATATTTCAGTTATCACCCTTTCCAAGCACTCCAACATATACATTTTTCTTTTCCTTTTGCTATTGCTTTCCTTATTAATTTTTTATACTTCCTAACTCTCATTTTCTTTGAATTGCTATTTCCACCTTTTTTTTCCTTACATGTTTTCCCCTTTGTTTTATCACTGAACTAAGATAAGACTTAGAGCCAAAGTTGTCCCATTTCGTTATTGTGATTTAATACCTTTCTCTTAAAAACTGCCAATTCTAATTCACAATTTTCCATCTAATTTCTTACTCTCCGATTTGATATAAAGTTTGCTCAGCTGTGCCCCTTTGAAACACCATCTATGTGTATTAATATAGTATGGCTCTATGCCTACCTCAAATGCAATCAGGATTCCACAGTAACCACCAACTTAGAGTTGTGTGGTTAATTTATGTGACATAACCAAGAGAAAAATCTTCATGGCACATGTGTAACGTTGCATTAGAAAAAACAAAAACAGACCTAGGATGTAAGCCACAAAACTGTCTACTGGATTCAACTATAAAACAACTATATACTTTTTTCCTCTTGGCCCCAGGGCAGGAAACAGACACTTTTTAACACTACCAGGCTTTGCACAGACATCTCTCTTGCTTTCCTTTCCCTGAACTTGTACTGCCTTTGACATGTTCAACTACAGCACAAAACGAGCTCTGGGCACTTGTAACAAGGCTGTTTCCTCCAACACCAGCTGGAATTCGGGATGTTTTTGCAAAGCAAATCAGAGTGAACACTGCAGACTGTTACTCCATTTACCCCAATATATGCTAGGCAAAATTTAAAATCCTCATGCTTGGTTCTTTATCCTGATATAGGCACTGAGCTTTCTCTCTAGGGGCTGCAGCTCAAATCCTGGTCGCCCGCAGGCCGGGGTTCCTGGGGACACCCTGAGGGCCAAGGGTGGCTAGAAACACCCACTGGGGCCTCGGGGAGGAACATGGAAGAGCAGCAGCCCCTGGAGCCTGTGGCGAGGCCTGGTCGGGCCTGCTCACGCACTGCTGTCACCGGGTGTCCATGTTTTCCCTCAGACCCCAACACCTCCGCACCCAGCTCTGTACCATCCACCTCATGCTTGGAAGATGAATTGCTTCTCAAACCAGGGGGGGAAGTACATGCAACCATGGGTGCTGCCACGTACCCGCTGCCGAGGGTGGGAGCCAGCATGTGGCAATCGATGAGGAAACCCTGGGAGGAGCCGGGAAGAAACCTCCCACAGCTCTTCCCGTTCTTGCCATCTTTGCAGCGAGAAGCTGTGGGGGGAAGTCTCTACGCGAGGAAATTCAGCAGTGATGCAGCCAAGCCCACGCGTATTGCAAAACCAGGCACCGCTCTCGAGCTCGGCCTGTCCCCTCGCATGGCGAGCCCATGCGCTGCAGCCACCAGCCCAGGGCCGAGAAGGCCGGGCCATGGGAACCGGCCCCAGCAACAGCTCCGTTGTGCAACAGCGCGACTGCGGGACACTCACCCATGGGTGACTTGTGGCACTGTTACATTTACCATGGTTTCCCGGGTTGGCGTTTCCTCGGAAAAACAGGGCTGGGCATTAAGTGGGAAGATGCCAAAGAGAGTCTTTCACATCCACTTTTCTCTCAGATTTACCCACTATCTATCGAAGCTATGCACAACACCTCAAGCTACGCTGCTCTTAACATCGCTTTATGGGCATTGATAACCCTGGGCTATTCAAGCCTAATATTACCTTTATTTTGCCCTGAGTATACACACTGTTCATTTTTACAGCAATACAGATTCACTCCCAAAATATCAGCAATGAGTATCAAGCAATTTTTTCCTTCCTAACACCAATGGCCCGAAACCCCTCAGCACTGCGCGTGTAGCTCTTCACAAAAGGAGCTCTGCTGCATGTGGTTAGTCATCCCCCAAAATCACTGAAACTGATGTGACATGCAAAGCACTCCATTACGTCTTGCCCCTAGTCTCTCTGGAGCTCAAATTGCCCTGTAAAATGGAAATAAGAGCTCATGTCTCCTTCCTGAAGGCTGTCACTGAGATCGTGGGTGGAGCAGCAGTACCTTGCGCTGCTTATTGTCCTTTCAGGATATCAGGAATATATATTCGCTCTAATCAAGGCTTAGCTGATGGCGAGTTCTCCAGTCTACAAGTACAAAGCTCTTAGGATTAGTCCTTAGCAGGTAAAACAAACTCTAGAGAAGAGAGGGAGAATGGCTCAAGGCCGAGGTCAATTTTAGGCTGGAAAAGTGCATTTCAGGATCTGCTTCACATATCATAGTGCTGTTCTGAGGGGGAGATGACCAGCATCCATCAGGAGAGCACAACAGAAGGTTCAGCATGATGCTTAATCCGATTAGTCCTTCTCCTTACCCGTATCCACGCCTGCACGTGAACCCAAGGGCTCTACACCCCTGTGCTGAGTCTAAGCATTTCAGAGACAGGGAGAGAGGATCTGCTAATGGTTTAAGGAGGCAGAAGCCAACTTGGAAATCAGATGTTTGTGTCTATGTCTTGCCAACTCTATCAAGTAAAACACCCAGGCTATTTCTGCGCAGATAGTTGCCCTTGCTCAGAGAAGCCACCTCCAGATCAAAGCTCTGCCAAGGCTGGGTTCAGATCAGAAATCAAATGTTTGTGTCTATGTCTTGCCATATCTATCAAGTAAAACACCCAGGCTCTTTCTGTGCAGATAGTTACCCTCAGAGAAGGGTGAGAGGGCTCAGAGAAGCCACCCCCAGATCACCAAAGCTCTGCCAAGGCTGGGTTCAGATGAACCTTCTCAAATGGGCTGTTATTTATTTTTCTGGTTTCCCATTTGATGGGAAGATGTAGCTTGGCACAGTTTCAGCAAAGGAATGTGACTTTGATCAAGATAAATTCTCTGTTGCTTCTCCGTGAATAGCACCCACAGTAGCACCCACACCTACAGTCGGCTCCACAGAGACATTGTCTTTGCTCTGCCAGCTGCCCTGTTCCCTCTTTCCAAGCAGCCTTCCTGATTCTTCCCACTGTGGTCTCTGCCTCATCTCCTTCTAGTTTTCTTTCCTTGGGCTGGTAGGTGGGGATGAGAATCAGAAACTGTTTGGAGGCTTTCTCCAGATGCTACTGACTAAAGAAATAATAATTTATTTTTTCCTTAGAGGATGATGAAAGATTGATATACATCTCCAAAAAGATTTTTTTTCCTCCTTTTAAACTAAAGATCTCTTAAAGAAATGTGCTTATTGGAAGGCAATGAGCTGCTGGGATCGTTTCCTATTTTCCTCACGACTGTTTCAATCCCTGGCTCCAGATAATTCTGGCTATTCAAAAGGCACTTGGAAAACATTCTGCCTTCCCAAAACAGAAGAATGCAAAGAAACCTCACAACCAAAAAGCTAGTTGCTGCAGAGGTAGAGAGGTGCTTGGGCTAACCATCATAACAGCAGGAAATTAGGAGACCTGGGAAGAAGAATGGACCAGGATTTTGGTAGATAGATGATTAAAATAAATAAATATTCCAGACCTATTGTTTCCAAGTGTCTCCAAAGATGAGAGAATATGATGTATCAGGCTGCAGCTGCCACTCCACTCTTGCAATTTAATTTCATTGAAAGGCATTATGCCAAATAATTACCTTAATGAAGTCTCTAATGGGAGAAGAGAGGAAAAGAATAGATACACTTTGAAAAAAAGGCACCTTTGAAAATGCTTTCTTTTTAACCTGGCTCCGATTTAGCTCCCTCTCTTCCTGGCTCTTGCCCAGAAGACGCAGAAGGGTCTGATCTACCTCTCTTTCAAATGGCAGTTTCAAATGAAGCTCCAGTGATGTATTTCTGGGAACTAGCTACTTTACAAGTTGTGTTGTGTCAAACCATGGTAAAAACACCTATTTGTTTGGAAGAGTCCAGGCATCCAAGTCCTGCTAGTTTTCTGCTTCCTACAAAGCACAGACTCAAATGACAGGTTGCAGTCTGCCACTTCTAAAATCCTTCAGAATTTTGGCCTGGATTAACCTTTGTTGGCAGGTCTCATTCTCTACCTATGTTCTTTAACAATTTATATTTCACTTTGGAAACTCCCTGTGAAGTGACTTTCAGAAAGTCCCTCCATACTGATTTCCATCACCAGGAAAGCCATGAGCAGGGTCTGCACCTACTGCTCATACCGGTCTTTTCCAGTGGGCTGAAACTGCACTTTCCTTGGTGAATGAACTATCTACCAAGGACTATTAAACACAGTTTTTCAGATTTCTGTGAATGAAACCTGAAAGGATAACCTGAGTGGAAGAGAAATACGTAATTCCTTGGGCAGGGATTTGATGGGAAAGGTAAATGAACTGTTTCCCCCTGGCCAGCTCCCACATATTTCCCTTTTAGCATTGCCTAAGGCTGTGGTTATCCTCCAAATCTTACAAATTGTCTCTACTAACTTTCCCACCATTCCCACAGCACAACTAACTCCAGACCTTAAAGATTTTTTTAAGAAGGACATATAGCCCATTTTTATCAAATAAACGTAAAAATGCAGTAGTTCAGCTTTTTTTTTTTTTTAGCAAATATTTTTGCCAGCTTCCAAACACTTCTCAAACTCTGGAATATCAGCTGGTTGAGAAAAGGCACTGACATGACACCATCCCAGAAGCCTGAGCCCAACTACTGCCCAGAAGCCTCAGACAATCCTTGGATTTCTAAAACTGCTCTTGGTTTCTCACAGTTTTTCTCCTCCTCATGCTTCCTGGACAGCTTGTCGTAGAGGTAACGTGCTCGCTTCTCCTCTTGGCTCTCAAAGAAGGAGGCTGCGATTTTTCTGCACGAGCGGTGGGCATAGGTCTCCAGAAATACCGTGGCGTAGATGATGCAGTAGAGCAGCCCAACAACAAGGATCACAGAGTTATTAGGAGGCCTTGGTGGGTTGATCCTGCAGCGGGCAGAGCTGAAGTGCAGATTATGGTGGTAGCTTTTTTCAAAGTCCTGAATTGATGATTCTGCAGAAAAAATGGGGAAAAGTCTCTGGAAAAAGGGCAGGGCCCTTATTTTTGCCTGAAATGAAAAGAGTAAAAGTTTAAACAAAATATGAATGAAATAAACAGGTTACCACACACACACAAATTGAAGTGCATCAGCGCTTCAGAGTGCCCGAGAGTAACAGCATGTTGTGTATGTGCTGAATATTTGACATGGTGAGTCCCAGTCCTCTCTGATCATCTGTGGATGTCAGTGATCACAAAAGGTGCATTAGTAGCTACATGTTTCAAATCCAGAACCGATAAACATAAGCTGGACAAGGGAACCAGGCACTTACGCTGTATTTGATGTTGAGAGTCACGGGCACCACTGAGAACAGAGCCACGTTCCTGAGCGCAGTGTCTGCCACGCTGAACGCAAAGTGGTCCATTGCTATGATGACCAGCATCAGCATCAAGACCACGGTGAGGAACATCATCTGGGTGAGGCAGAGCATCACTTCCTCCCGGGACAACTTTGGGCCCGTTGGCCGAAGGAAACGTTTGGATGAGCCGGTCAGCAGATGAGCTGCTTTTCTGTCCATGGACAAACACTCCAGTTTCTTGGTGATGTAGAAATTGTCAAAGCGAAGGTTGGTGAGATAGTTTTTCAAATACCAGGTGGACTCAAAGCAGAGATAGAGCACAGAAAAGCCAGCTACTAATCTGTTCCCTGCTTGTACTGACGCTTTTACCAGTGCTTCAACTGCCAGAAAGTTTTTTCTAATTTTCTCACCAGCAAGATGCATTTGCTGATTAACCAAGGTGCTATTATTAAGTAGTGCAAATTTAAAGTGTCCATTCTTAGGCCGCAAAGCACCAATGTCAACTGTTTGGATGACATCTCCAAGCTCCCAGGACGCTTCCCCTAGGAGGGCTGTTGAGTTCAAAAGGCTCTCCGAGGAATTCTTACAGATGCATTCGATAACCTGCAGTATGGCTTTAATGTTACTTATAATGTTTGGTGTTACATTAACTGCCACGACCATGATGCAGGTAGACAAAAGAAGCTTCCGACCTTGTTTTGTACCTAAGGTAGGCATGATGATACTGAAAACACAGCGGGCAGGGTGCACCAAGAAAAGGGTCAGTAGAAGGAGCAGACTGAAGGAAAGTGCAATTGCAGTAGAGAGATGTCGTGAATACTCCAGGGAAGCAAACATCCAGTTGTAAAAGAGGCCTCCTACCACCACTGTAATGCAGGAACACTGTAGAAATAAAGTCCCCAACTCTCTGGTGTTTGCTGGGACAGGCTTTGAGTAAATTGACCATAGATCTAGCACAGTCCTGCGCACCTTAGGGAGCACAAGGTCTTCACAGCAGACACAGAGTCTCGACCTGTACAAAGAAGAGGTATCTGGGTGTTAGCAGAGGAAACACAGAAGTGCACTCGCTAGGGACCTTCGGGACATTCTCTCATGGGCCTTTATAACTTTCTTCTCTGAATGCCTCTGGTTTCCCTCTTTTCTACCTCCATCCTAAACTGAGCAGCTAGGGTCAAGATCTTCCTTGGAAGAAGGCAGGGAAGGAAAGTTCAAGACATTTCTGGAAAGGTTAAATACCAACTACAGTGCAACTGCTGCAGCTGCCATTAGCTCCAGCTCTGTAATTACAGGGTACTCAGTAGATAAGAGGAGTCAGAGCAGCAGTTCCTGCTCTCCTACCAGGCTAAAAATCAGGGAGCACAAAGGTGACAAATACAGAACTGATCAGAGAAAATGCTCTTTTCACACTGATGTTCCAGTGACAGAGAAAGTCCTCAAAGGTAAGTAACTGGCCAGGGAAGACAGGATATGTCTCATAGATATTTAAATGTCTAATAAAAATAAACATTCTGGAAGGAATATCATTTCTCAGGCCTTGGGCCTGAAGGGACTCTCTAAGAAGCAGAAAACCTGGGGTGGGGGTGAGGGACAGACTCTTCCCTCATTTTTTTGTTTGATTTTTCTCCCCTCTGCACAGTCCAAAACCTCTCCCATAGTCTTGTGGGTCTGACAAGGCACAGGGTGAAACCCAGCCAAGAAATCACCATCTCCCCTAGTCTCAGTTACTCCCAGAGGGAGAATTCTGCCTAGTAAATCCAGACTCAGCCAATTCATTTACAGCATTGTTTTCCTAGAAAGAAAGAAAAAAAAAAACCCACAGCACAGCAGCTGTCAAGACAGAGCAGCAGAGATTAAAGTAGACACTACATACCAAGGTGCAGAAAGGTACTCCAGTCTTGCTCGTAATCCCTCCATGCTCCAGAGAAGGGCCTTGCCTTATTGCACTCAGAGGATCTTGGATACAGCTTCTGTGACTCCCAGGAGAGAAAATTGCAGTTATCATGAGAGATCCAGGACTCAAAAAAGAAGCATTTTAAAGCAATTCATATGAGCAAAGGCAGGTGGCTCCAGAAAGAAGGGGTGCAGACCCTGAGGAAATAACCCACTGTCAGGACAAGACAGGGATACACAACCCTGCTCAGACCTTACACCCCTCGGTGCCTTAGTGTGGTTACAGGCAAGGCTGATTTTTGTGACCCAGCTGAAGAAAATCAGTCAATGACTGACAGACTGACTAACACAGAACAAGCATCACATGAGGGCCGGGTGCTGCCACGTATTGGGAAATACAGCACCTCGTCCCAGCTGGCTCCTCCTCGCTGTCCCCTGTGAGCTGTCCCAGCGCGGCTGTGTGCCCGTGTAGGGCGCTTGCAAACGGCTCCGTGTGCTCCTTGTTCCGTATTGCCTCTTTAGGTGCCATCTGTGTCCCTCCTCCTTCCTAAATGAAGAAGATTTGTAAATAATGAACAATGAGGGGTCCTGGCTCGAACGTTTTGTGTGCGCCGGCAGCCTCATGCGTCGCTGCTGCACAAGAGCCTGTGCTGGGGCTGTACCCTGAGCAGGGTGTGCGGGCACAAACAGCTCTGGGGGACCCTTTTGCACACTGGTGCCTTTCCCTGTTCCCTGTCCCCAGAAAACCTGCTACCGGGCAGGACAACCGCACGGCTGTTGGGTGCTTTCCTTCCCCGGTTGCTGTGGGAGGGTGTCACAGCCAGCAGCAACTCGCTCCTGGAGCCTGCCTACGTCCACGGCACACAGAGCAGAGCCTTCCCTGGGGTGGGAATCCACAGGCCGTGGGACGTTCCCAGGCTCCCTGGGTGGGAGAGGCCGAAGGGCGGGCGGTGGGACATGAGCCTGGGAGCGGATGCGGCTGCTTCCCGCAGCGTTCCAAGTGTGCAGCATGCTCTGGTGACAAGGAAACAAATTTAGTGAGGCAGCTCTTCCTAACCCATGACTTGGGCACAGCAAGAAATGTTATATGTGTAATTAGACATAGATTTTCCTTCTGGTTTGACTTAGAAGTTGCTCTCTGTTAGGAGGGACACAAGGAGGGGTTAAGTCTGGAATATCTTTCTTTTTAGACTCCCAGCTGACACCGTGCAAACGAGATGTCAATGCCTAGTGTTTCCCAGGACACAATGACAAAGATTGCTTTACAAAAATACGTATATATGTATGTATATATGCATAGGTTTATGTATATATGAATGTGTATATGTAACCTGGGGTACAGGACACGCATACACAGAAGAATATACATTTCTGTGAAGCAGCTGTGACATCTTGTGGTCGGATTCTGCTAAACTACTTCAAGGTCTGTGTTCATCTGAGCTCACAAATTATTTAGTTTTGTGGGAGACATTTAAGGCCTTTGAGGACGTGGAGGAGAAACAGGCCTGCTGGTGGGTCAGTGGTGGGTCCATGCCCCCGTCCCTCCAGGGATGCACCAGGATGCCCTTGGCCAATCTGTGTCCCCAAAGTCTCCTGGCCAGCTCCCAGGTGAGAGCAATGGGCTTTGCTTTCTTTACAAACTCCATGTAGCTGAACAGGGGCTAGTGACTGACCTCCCATAAACCAGGACACAGATTTTAAACCCATCTCTGCCTTTGAGGCTGCAGTTTGCTTGGGACAGGTCCCAAGACGGTCTCAGGGGAGTATCTTGCCAAAACACCTGCAAGATCAACCCGCAGCAACAGGGTAACCACGGCAGGGTGGTGAGGAGGCTGCAAGGGGATGCCAGGCACAGGAGGAGCCATTTCACAGGCAGGGTTGGGTATGTGAATTACACGGCTTCAGAAAAGGACTGGGTAAATCAGGTGAATAAAGGTATAAAATGTTATGGATGAAGGCTGAAGATGTTTCCTCATGGCAACATCATCACCACTATTGATTGTGTTGCTCTGCAAGCCAAGAAATTTGAGAGTGAGGGAAGGCTCAGCCCATTAGCGAGGCTGGGCTGCTCCTTCACAACCACATGCGAATGAACAACTTAGGGTGATGCAGAGTCAGGTTGTGCCGTTTCTGTTTTCTACTGTAGAAATACAGAAAAATCCCACAATTACCATTCTGTGACTGTACGGGGGAATAACTGCAGTAAGAGACCCAGAAATATCTAAGCTTAATTTACCCTATCCTGCTGCATACACACTTGTTTCAGGGTTTTTTGCCTTTCAATCCTGACCTTCTTGCATTGCTGCTGGGTGCAAGTAGGTTATGCACAGCCCAGAACTGGCTGCATCGCTGTCCCAGCAGCATTTTTGTTATGGTGGTGAATTACTCACCATGGTGAAAATCCAGACAGCAAAGTTTCTAGTGCATCTCTGAACAATCTTAAAGCAACTTTAGTATTTGTTTTGGGGATAAGAAATACCATGGAATGCTTTACTGTAAGCAAAACCAGAATGCAAGCATCTCAGAAAGATATATAGATTTTTCTTCCCAGATTGGATGGGAAACTTCAAAGAGGTAAAGCAGAGAGATTTTGGAAGTTGAACTGTAATGTGTGAGTGGCATTTCCTGTTAATTAAAATTCAAAGCAGGCTGCTAATGTGAATGGCTTTTGTGGCAATTGCTGGATTTTTACATTCCTAGGAA